TCTTAATGGTTCAGATGTCTGAATGGTTCAGCACTTAATGGTTCAGACTGTTTGTTTCAGCATCTTAATGGTTCAAATGTCTGAATGGTTAAGAGATTTGCCTCTGAATGGTTAAGTATTATACAGAGTCTGAATGGTTAAGACCTCTTATCTGAATTGATCAGACATTTGCCTCTAAATAGTTAAGCAATATACTAACTCTTAATGGTTCAGACCTCTTACTGGTTCAGCACTTAATGGTTCAGACCTCTTACTGGTTCAGCACTTACCTATTCAGAAGTTGCCAAACAGCCCCTAAATCACGGGAAGAAATATGCTTTGTTTATTTACGAAATCAGTCGTTTTACTCATTCTCTCTTGAAAAACATTTTCCGATTGAGTAATGTTTATATATATGGTCTTAAGATTCACATTTAAAATGTGGATTTTCTTATAAAAATTATCCTAAAAAAGACTAAAACAAAGTAAAAAGTATCAAAATAGGATTTTCATGTTTTTTTACGAAAAAAGACTTCGCAGAGTGGTAATGTGACACTGTACATGTGCACGTTCATATACTTTTTTGTGATGTACATGACCATGTTTGGTAATGTAAATGCATTTTACGTCCTATTTTGGAAATAATAATATGAAAGTTTTATTTTGGTATATTTCCAATTATTTAGTCATACTTTGGTCTTTCTCCCATTTTCTTACATTTTTCATAGGCTTGCATGTGGTTATTTTCTTTTTCGCAAAGACATACTTCTTTTATGTTATAAATACACTAAATTACATAAAATGAACATGTACCTTAGGTCCACCGAAGAATTTGTCATTCCCTTCCCCCAATTACTATTTTTGACTATATCACTTCTTTTTCTTGAAATAAAATTTCTTGACAACACTTGTTTTATAAATTTTTTGACATATTTAAAAAAACAAATAAATTATATTTGTTTATTTCTATATCATACTAATTTATAAATAAAATCATTTTAGAATAAAAAGGATTTTGGATGTTATTCGAAATAGGAAAATTATTTTGAGACACGGAGGAGTATGTGGGAAGGAAAGGATCTTTGAATAGGTTCACAAATAAAATAGTCACAAATTTTACAAACTTACTACTTGTGAAGTTCAATAATGAATAAAATATTTTAAAATAGGTTTTTAAAAGAATTTAAATCATACTACGTACATGGCAAGTTTGTTGTGAAGTTTGTAACGATTTTGTGAAGTTGAATGGAACGGGGCCTTACTCTCGTTAATAATATTTGAAGAATTGAATGTGTACAAAATAAAAAAATTAATACCAAATTTTCTGAAAGGCTTTAAGCTGGGTATACAACATTTTTAGTATGGTTGCAATGGTTTTTCATTGTCATCTAGGACCAATAGTTAAAATCATGTATTTGTCTTCACTTGCGGAACAACAACATAAAGTTGACCATCAGTGAACACTAACTTAGTTAAAAATAATCCAAATGTCAATATTTGACCTTAACTTTTGTTGATAGCTAGTCATAGCAAAACATAAGGCTATTGGAAGATGTCTTCTCTGGAACTTCAGGGGTAGTTCGATCCTGTATCAGATGATACCAAATTCATCTCGGGTATGTAAACTTTTTCCCCCACAATAATACTGATAATGTTCTTTTGCAGTTCGTAAACAGTTAATCTTGTATGACTACACAGTCCAGATGTTTGGTCAATGTTTCTTAATAACTGATGGCTATAAACCACCGAATATGTGAAATAATATAAGTTTTAGAGAAAGAGAAGGAAAAGTAGGAGTTTATTCACTTCAAAAATTCGGATCCATTACAAAGAAGGGTATTACCCCTTTTATAGGGGATACAATACACTTAGTCAAAGCCCTCTGATCGAGGTTCGTCGCCTAGCGGACGTCATCATCTGTTCCGTCTTGTCCCTTTTATCCCATCGTTATCGCGCAGTCAACACGGCCCGTCGTTATCCTCCCGTCGCTGTCATACTCCCGAGCCGAGCCCAGGAGTCACAACCGAGCTCGTTGGCCGAACTGAGCTCATGGGCCGAGCACGGCAGTCTTCCACGTGGCTGAGGGGGTCCAGCTGACGTGTATTTGGGGTCATCCTCCATCATAAGCCCCCCACTCTCCGGGTTCCTTGGCAATTGGAAACGGAACGCGCGAGAGTAAGGGTACTGTATGGAGGCGGCGTGTGGGCCCACGCGCATGGATAGGCGGACCATTGGTGCCGTTTGGGCTTCCCTAGCGAGAGGGGATGTGACGTTTCGTCTCCCTAGGCCAAGTGGCGGCTCATCATTACACCCATTTGAACCCTTCCTTTATAAATACCAGCCCAATACACTTCATTTCTCACTTCTAGAGAGAGAAAGTAAGAGTTCCCTCGCCGTAGTGTCCCTCCAGCGCCACCGCCGTCACTCCGTCGCTTGTTTCCGGCTCCACACTAGGTTAGTTTTCCTCGGCTTCGCTTTCCCATGTCCTCCCAGTCCTCAGTTGTGCGTGAGTCCGCATCCGAGCGCGACGCCCAGGGTTCCGCCTTAGGCACCGCCCAAGAGAGTAACTCCTGCACGCCCTCTATCGAGGAGATTGTAGCGGTTAAGGTCTCATCTCAGTCCGAACCTCGCCACCAGAGGCGAACCGCTATGGAGGACTCGGGAATTCGTGCGCAGAAGTGCACCCTTAAAGGGGACGAGTTCCGCAAGGCGAAGCGCCTTGCCTCGGCTCCAGGAGTGACCGTGCGTCGCCCCACTCCCAAGGAGCCCGTTTTTTACGCCCCTTCGGGCTCCTTCGCCATCCACCTCAAGTCCCTTGAATATGGGTTCCATTTCCCCCTCCATCAATTAGTCATCGATTTCTTCCTCCACTTCGATCTTCTCCCCTGCCAAGTGGTACCCAAATCCCACCGCTACTTGGCGGGGTTCCTCGTCCGTTGCCAAGGACGACGAAGCGCATCATTGAAGTGCATCATCTCGACATTGCAAGACAATGTCACATGAACCGGGCCAATTATAAATAGCGGATTTATGTTTAATGAAATTACTCAATTATCTTATATTTCTATATAGTACCATGGCTGCTAAATTCTGGGAAAATCAAACCCTAGTATGCTCTCTCTCTCTCTCTCCCAATGTTGTCGTTGCCGGTGGTTCGTCTTGGCGACGAATGTATCACCATCAATCAACCTAACCCATTAGTGGAGTATATGTTCAATCTTATAATCTCAATCTCAATGCAATGATGAGGCTTAAACACTGAATGTGGATAAGCTAATAACTTGTTCGTCGTCACTACGCACGCCTGAATATATATATATATATATATATATATGCTTCCATCAGTATGCATGCATGTTAATTATTAGCTTTCACCTCTCGTTTGATTTTTAGAAAGAACAGTCATCAATCAAGAAACGCTGCAAGCCAGCCGCCGCCTAAAACATATATATTCCAAAGCCGTGAAATTCCAACAAGCTAGCTTGATGACGTTTTTTATGACACAATATTTGGTTGTATTTTGGTATATTTGTTCACAACCAGCTCTATGTTTGTTTGGCATGTCTGTTTGTGAGGTCAAGTGTCATCCCTCACATTTTTTGGCCTTAGGCCAAATGAATAATAGGGCCCTTATTAGATTAAAGTTGATTGTCAGAAAAGTAATTTGTATATAACATACGAGTAATATACAAAAATAGTCAAACAATTTCAAAAAGGAACAATATCAACCAATTAATTAATATGTCAAATTTATTATCGTACTTCTTCATATTGAAGATAAAGTTGTCATAAATTTTAGTTATCATAAAATTTCTACATTTTAATCAAAAGTTGAGTTTAAGAATGAACAAAATAATACAATACACAACAGTGACTAAGTGGCTCGCCCATCTTTTTATACACACACAATTTATGCCCCCAAATTTGGGGCAGATTCGGGTTGTGTATGAACTTCAGACCACTATGTAAAATTATACAGTATGTACATCAAGCTAAGGTCAGTTTAATGGGCAAACTAATTTCAATGACATGTTTAACCATAAGACGGTAACTACGGAAGTAAAAATTTCCGCGAGCGGTAATTTAAAAAAATGGCCCCCGTGAAGATATACTCTCATCCGCCGCGGTGTGTTCGTCTAGTTGGATGGACTTCTTGACAGTCAAATTAGACAAACTTTGATTATCAATTAAATAAAATAAAACATAATAGTTCTTTGAAAATATTTTAGAAGGTAACTCTAATTCGATCATTTTTGTACTAATAATTGATATTAAAATTAATCCAGTTTAGCTTCAAAAAACTCGAAACGAACAAGCACACTAGAACGCATTGAAGGAAATCATCAGCAGTAAAGAGATGTTTGTATATATGTTCACCTTTTTGTTCAAGCAGTTCCGGTGATTAATCTTTCGCGTTGATCTAAACTTCTAACTTTGAGAATGCCAAACAGAACTTGGAAGCCGAAGAAAGCGCATAAGCCATATGCAATCATAGCAGGCACCTGATGAATAGAGAGAGCAGCAATGCTATTAAATAGACCTGGCAAAAAGTGACCCGACCTGTTTTTGACCCGAAACCCGACCTGAAAACACTGGGTTTTGAACAAAGGTTTTGATGACCGAACCCGAAGTTGACCAAACCCGAAATGACCCGCTAAAAATGGGTCAAACCCGACCGAACCCGAACCCGACCTGACCGACCCGCTAAAGTACGAATTTTTCAAAATTGTACACTTTTTTACTCGTTTTTAGTGTATAAATTTATATTTTCAGACAAAATTTTAATGATATTGCATAATTATCTTACTTTTTCCCCAAAACATAAGCATTTTTAAATTCCTTATATTGATTTTTATATCTAAATACTACTTTAGAGTTTACAATAAAATAATTTTATAGATTTAATACTTTTTTTTGATATTTTAAATTTATTAATGTGAATTTAAAAATTTAAATAACCAAAGTCATAACCCGTTNGAATTTTTCAAAATTGTACACTTTTTTACTCGTTTTTAGTGTATAAATTTATATTTTCAGACAAAATTTTAATGATATTGCATAATTATCTTACTTTTTCCCCAAAACATAAGCATTTTTAAATTCCTTATATTGATTTTTATATCTAAATACTACTTTAGAGTTTACAATAAAATAATTTTATAGATTTAATACTTTTTTTTAATATTTTAAATTTATTAATGTGAATTTAAAAATTTAAATAACCAAAGTCATAACCCGTTGAGTCGACCCGAACCCGATGACACTGGGTTATGAACATAGAGTTCTCAACCCGAACCCGAATTGACCCGAACCCGAAATAACCCGAACTTGAAGTGACCGAACCCGAACCCGACCTGACCGACCGATTTGCCAGCTCTACTAGTATTAAACAACAGGTTGGTTGAACATAGGTCTGATGCAGTATCCAACAATACAAACCAGGATGGGCCCCACTTACTCTTATAGAACTAAGGTACAAAACTGTTGCAAGGTTAACTAAGCTTCCGGCTGCAACTGCCTGTTGGTTAGTTCGTGTCCCGAGAAAGACAACCCACGATTAGGTACAATAAAAAGTCGTTAGAAGATAAAAAAAGTCACCGGCATACTATTGAAGAATAAGGCAACTTACACTTCCCACGGTTTTCTGAACAGCAGCGACACGTTGAAAAGCCCTTTCAGACTCCAAAGCTCTAACCCGAAGTTTCAGATCACCTTGCTCCTGTAATTTCACCAATAGAAGATCTAAATGTCCGTTGGAATCCGGAGTTTGTTAGGGAGAAATAAGAAGAAAATCAGAGAACTTTGGAAGGAAGGAAATTTTGTGGGGAAACTATTAAAAAAGTATATTGTCATTACACCCTACTTTTTGTGGGATTTTACTGGGCTTGTTGTTGATTTCTAATACCCCATTTGTGGGACTCCACTTGGTAGGATGTTGCTTATAAAAAGACTGAGGAACCTATATAAAATCTTAAAAAGTCCTAATTAAATTTAATTTTCCTTCATACTTTCCGAGATTAAATCAAACATTAAAAATTCATTTTCCTTAGCAGCCTATATGAACATGGCAGTGAATAAGCTAAAAATAATAATATGAGGTTGAAAGTGGTGTTCATCAAATTAAGTGAGAAAAATACCACTAAACCAAGCCTATCAATGCTGCATAATAAATAATCTAAGAAGCTTAAATAATCCATTGTATCTACCAATCTTTGGATAACTTCTGCAAGCTTCTCAACCCTATCAGCCTGCCTAAACAGGTTGGAAAATGCACGAGCTTGTCTGTCCCATCTCTTCCTTAAGTCCTGAAATAAAGTAGCAGAAATGTCAAAACGGAAAAATACAAATTAACCCTTCCGCCCCAAAATAATGTTCATACTTTCCCTTTGCATTTGTAAATAAACTTATCCCATATTTGGTTTTAAAAATGCCGTTACTTTACTTTTTTACCCCCGTTTATTATCCAAGCGTACTACCATTAATTACTCCCAATGTCCCAATCACTTATCACAAGGGCAAACTTGGAAGTCAAATCGAAAAGAACTCGGTCATTAAATACTGTCAAGTCAAGCTATGAATAGATGTAATGGATGGAAGGAGCACAACTTTGGAAAACAAAATGGTGTAGGTTTAGGTGTAACTTGCCCTTATAATTAGTTCAACTCCAGCTTCACGAAACCTGAGCAATTCCATTGCATACCTAGAGAGCAAGAGATTGTTCAAAAGCAGAAAGGGAGAGTAGTTCCATGACTTCATCATCACGAAATTCAAATAGATAACATTGACATCAAAAGATGTACTTACGGCTTAGAAATCTCAGATATATCAAACCGTGGATCGAGACTTTTACCAATGCCATCCAACACTAATATTTTTCAAAAGGTAATATACATCACGAAGACACAAACATTAACTGACTACATAGCAATTAAATAAGCACAGTTGTAATAACTGATAAAATACCTGAAAATGCTCTGACAACAAAAGTGAACGTGGCAGGAAAGCGGAATGGCTGATCGGCTGCAATGGATAATAGATCTTCACCTGAAAAGAGAACACAAATTATATAATTACAAACTGAAAATTTACAGCACTGAAATTATTTATTCATTTGAAAGGAAAAGGAAGTAGATCAAAGAAATAATGAAATGAAAAAAAAAGTCATGATCAGAGGGATGACAAACTTTAAGGGTATCAAGTGTAAATTACCAATTGCAGCTAAACGTTGTTTCCTCTTTGCTATCTTTTCTTCTTTGCTCAGAGGCTTTTTGAATCCAAGTTCTGTTTTTGCCAACTCCCTCTCTCTCTTCTGTTCAGCAAGGCGCTTTTCAAAACTTCAAATTATTCATAAAGGCCCAATGAATCACAAAAAAAAATAATCAGTTTCCAAGTTGATGTATAGCGTTGGAAATTCAAAATAAATCATAATCAGTTAGCCATTCTTTGCATGCCACTATTGATTCCAAAAACCAGATAAAATAACTACATTAGCATTTGTAACAAGTAAGATAACAAGAGTCTTTGAGAGTTCAATTAAATTGTGAATTTCTATTCCAAACAACAGGATATCAAAGGAGTCCAGGTATCAAATTAGCTTCATACTAGTATTTAAATTATACTCCCTCCCGCAATTAACTTTATACTTTGCTTTCCCAAAATTAACTTTAAATTTCTCCCATTTTTTAAAGGAATGTGGTTCAAAGCATTTCTCTATCTTCTAAAACAAATTCCACCCACACACTTCTCAATTTTCAGCACTTCTCTTTAACTACGTGAAGTCAAAGAGTAAAGTACAGTAAAGTGTAAGCTGCAGGACAGAGGGAGTAATCCAGAATCTTGACATATAATCTTGAAAAACAATATCAAAACACTGGTTTTTTAAGATCCACCATTTCTTTGCATAATATCGAGTGAAATTTACTAGAATGCCTTCTTTACATTTAAATTAGTCAAATATATCTATGAGAAAATTGAAGTATGCTGGGCAGTGGGCACATAAATTCTCGTTGGCTATCTCCAAATTCACCCTCAAAAAACACATTGAACAGATTTTCATCCAAAAATAACCTGTTAAGGAAGAACTGAGCAGTTCTCCTGACAGCTGTCATATCTCCAGTAGGAACAAGAACACCCATTTGAATCATTGCTTGCAGAAGCTGCAATTCAAGAGGTATGTAATCTTTCATCACATCATATAAATAATTAAATATACTGTAGTTACTTTGTAAAAAAATTCTTATTTACCTTACCTTAAGAAGAAATTAGCAGATCTACAAATTAAGAAATAATTACCTTATCTGGATCCTTCTCATAAACCCCGTAAAATACTTCTAGTAAGCCTTCTCTGATATCTGAACTTATACTGCAATCACTAGAAGTTAGTCTATGGATCATTGAAATTTGAAATGTTCCCAAATGGCATGTTTGGTCAAGAGGAATATATTTCATGTACCTTCCCATCATTCCAAAATCATAAAAGATCAACCTTCCACCATTAACATCATCAACAGCAATATTTCCCGGATGCTGTAAGACAAAATTCAAGGAAAATCAATTTCAGTCCTCTAAGTAAGTTTGTAAATAGCCCACCACACACACACACACACACAATCCATAATTCATAAGTACATATTTTGCATCCCTCAGTTCTATCTACACTTAGTCAATATATTAGTATTTCGTCTCTAATGTAGAATTGAGAATAATAAATTTAAAGTTAATAACGAAACATGGTACTTTGCTAGAAGTCTACAACCATAACCAAGTTGTATGTTGCTTAATAATAAGAAGATATTGCCAAACCCAATATTTAACATTATGAGCATCTACACTTTACATTATGTATCTTTCTTATAATCATAAGAAAGATGTATGCAGTCTTATCCCTATAAAAAACAGAGTTTGTTTGTGTTAGACCCTTGGTGCATTATTGCATTTACTACCTAAAACTTCATTGAAAGTAAGAAGCAAGTTAAATGTGCCATTCTGATTTAGACCTATTTGCCTGAAGCTAAAACATTGTCAATAGACCATGTACAAAAAGGATGATAACATTGTTAATATTCATGTTTGCAACAGCTAGATTTTAGAAAGCATCAACCTTTGCACATTTAAGAGTAAAAGAGATGAAAATTTAGTACAGCAAGTTTAGTTGGTAATCATGCTTGCACAGCTTGATTTTACTCAAGGTCAACATTTGCAAATTCAAGCAAAGGAGAACAAAGTGTGTTCAAGTACGATAAGAGAGATATTTTGTAACAAAAACTCACAGGATCGGCATGAAAAAATCCATGAGATAGAATCTGCTCCAGATAAGATTCAACAGCATATCTCCCCAACCTGGTGGAATTATGAAGCAGGCCAATGAAATATAAATTAATAGAACTATGAAATGTATGCTCATCCTCAACATCATCATCACCACCACTACATCACCATCTAGTTGGTTGGTGGCACTAAATTTATAGTGCAAAGTAATTTTTTTAAATTAATTGACACTAAATTCATGAAAAAAGCATTGTGGCAAGGTTTTATGCCATAATCCCTTTCATAGGAATGAAAAATGAAGAGTAATAAGATGAAGATTCTAATTGTCACCGTCATAGGTTATTTCCACATGCATGAAAAATACCAGAAAGAGAATCATGATGGCAATCCGAATGGAGTTGAACTGGTGTTTAAAGTAGATACCAAGTACAAAGTTTGAAAGAAATCTGTAACAATGAGTTACCTCTTCCTATCAACTCCCAACTGATCTAATGCTTGTATCCTATTTATTTTTATCCCTGGAACATACTCCATGGTGAGGACCTAGAGAAGAAAGCACTAATCAGCTGCACAGCCTACACTTATTATACAAAAATTGAATAGTTTATGTCAAATTATTGTGGGAACTATAAGTTAAAACCTGTGTAGTCGTGTAGTCCCAATATATTGTTGGTACTTTCACATAGTCCAGATTTTTAAAGTTCTTTGCAAATAGTTCTGCATTAGAAGCTTCTTTTATGTAGTCAATTTCCTAGAGATGATAAAATATAATCTTTTGTCAGTAAACAAAATTGATAAACAAAATATTATAGAAAAATGGTAGTTGAAGCTTGAGTAGGATTTTACTAAAAATACTTTATAAGAGAAACAACAACTCCAGTAGTCAACCACAATCTTGGCAGAAAATTCCAGAAATTAGAACATAATATTTGTTTCTCAAAAATCATTAGAAGTCCATGGAATATATCTACGTCAAGGTTCATAGTTTAAAATTTGTTCAAGAAAATAAAATTAAAGAGTTGCTATAGAGCAATAGGTTTCTTTCTACCTGATACAAGACATTTGCGCACTCATCATAGATGGCAACCCAGTCCCTTTTTGCACCATCTGACTTGGGATCAATTTTTTGAAGATATTCAGCTATCACCTTAAAAAACAAATAACTAAATGATGAAATTGCAAAATAATGTACAAACAGTTTCATAGCAAATGGCAATCCAAAACTTAAAAGCCATGGTCATGACAAAAGAAAAATTTGTCATTGCCAATCTAAGGGATAGACGAAATTCCACCATAAGGCACTTCAAGAGACCCACCATTCAACAAAAAATTACACTGTGGTAGCCATTTAACAGCACTGTTCTCAAGGCTATAATAGATTCTCAATAGCGATTAATCCTGACAACCTAGTCACTTTGTAAAATGTGTGATGTGAATTACTAAAGTTCTCGGTTCTGTACTGATTGCAAAGTACCAATAGAGTAATTTCTTAGAGAAGTAACATAATAAAAGGAATTTTAATTAGGAGAGATTCCATTTATTGAAAAAAAAGCATCCTATTAATGGATAATGACAATAACAACCTGACATCATTGAGACTAAAATAATAATCCTACAGGTGTCAAAAGTACATGTGTGATGTGATTTACTAAAGTCCTGCACTAACTGCGGAGTACCAATAGACTAAGTTCTTAAAGAAATAACATAATCAAGGAATATAATAAGGAGAGATTCCATATATTGAAAAAAATAAGCATGCTGTTAATGGGTAATGACAATAACAAGCAGAGTTCATGGAGAGTACTAAAAGAATCCTACATGTATAAAAGGTACACGAGTATAAGAAAACAACCCTCAAGTTTTTAAGGTCAATGTCAAAGAGATCCTTAAGCCCCGGCCTCTGCACTTTAACAACAACTTCCTGGCCTTTCAATTTTGCACGATGCACCTGACCTGCATAAGACAATGCAATGAATAGCATGTGTAATTTCTTATTAACATGTTGGTAGCTCAAAAGAATGAACATGTACAGTATAATTGAAAACTTGAAGAAAAAAAAGTATATGACTAGTGCTAAATGAAAATTACCAAGGCTAGCAGCGGCTATCGGTTCAAGATCAAATCTGTCAAATATATCATCCAACGGAGATCCAAATTCTTCTTCAAGTATTGATACAACATTTTCTGATGGGAATGGAGGGACTTGATCCTGTTGGGGTCAGTGACATTAAATTTACGGGAAATTCTACTGTGCCAAATATATAGTGGCACTCCCAATGTTTATAGTGCATAGAATTTTCCTTAAATTTATAGTGCTAATTAATCGTATAGATGTAATTAAAGCTGAAAGATGGGGGAGTATAAACACCAAGTTCAACGTTGATTGGGATATTTTGGATTAAATGGCAATCATATGATCATTGGGATTTTAACTTACATGTCAGCAACCTATCTAGGAAACATAGGAGGGATGTTTTTTGGAGCTTTGGGGAGTTCAGTAAAGTTGTTAGTCAGGAAGCCGATTGAATATCTCGAACTAGTAGAAGGGAATATCCAACTTTTTCTCAATAATAAATAAGCACTTGAGAGGTAATTGAGGTTAGAAGTTGAAGAAACCACTCTTCCGTTGATTACTGATGGCACGTGAACACATCTTTAGACAATCAGATTGTTCATGACCTCATTTTGAAAAGCGCATTAAAATGGACAAATAAGCAAAAAAGACTGTCTACTCGAAGTCTCAAACCTATGAAAACAAAACTACCATAATAGTAGCGTTCTGCATGCAATAAAAGAGCAATAGCCCAGTACAGTATTTTTAATAAGATACTACGGATATCGGACCTGAAGTTCTGACAGTTGATCAATGTATTCCTGAGCAAGAATATCCACTCTAGTGGAAAACTGCTGACCAATCTTGATGAAAGTAGGACCTAATCTCAAAATGTTTTCCTTCAACCATTTTGCAAGAGTCTTCCTCCTACTAACTTTCTTCGCTTCTGACATCCCTCCTGTGTAAGTGCATCTCATTGTGTTACTTATTATAGATACAAAAAGAATATTGACCACAAATTTGAGGTTCTAGATATTTAGTAAGCTACTCAAAATAATATTGACCAAAAATTCAAGTATATTGATCACAGACTAACACATACTAATATATGATGCAAGACTGACCCCGATAAGAGAACTTCTGATTGTTTAGCCAAGCTTTGAAGGCAAAAGTGAAAATAAATCCCCATATCTCCAGTGTCCTTTGAATTGTTGAATATGTTTTAAATCTACTCCACCGACCACCAGGAGCAACTGATACCTACAAAATTTATGTGCAACTCACACCAATTGGTCCAATTTTACGAAGATAATGATAGTGTTGGATTAGTGAATAAATCAACAATGCATCAGCATCTTGGGCTCTTGGCAAACCCTGTAATTTCTATGTGCAACTAAGATTAACAGAACCCTTCAAGAGTGTACCACACTGTCCATACAACTTCTAGGCTCCTAATACAGAGCAATCAACATTGTGAATTCTTCAAGAGCGTTCCACATGGCTGATGAGGTTCAGTGAATAATCTCAGTTATATCAGTCTTAATACTCTCACCAAAACATTTTTCAATTTTAGAATTCCGAAGACTTTGATTGTTTCAAAAGCCTGATTATACTTACTACCCTTGTTGTAAGAAATGGTTTGTTTTCCTCTTGAAAGATTTCTATTGGTAATACAATAGCTATAAGAGTCCTTTTTCTGACAATGGCATATGAAAATTTTCTTCCTTCATACTTTCTATGAAGTTTTGGGCAGTCAATGCAGCAATGCATCGAGGGTCTAACGAAATAACCTCGTTTTTACAGCCTTCAAAGTAATTTTAGTTACATCTTGGCCAGAGCCAGACCACAACTGGACTATATTGGGTTTGTTTTTGTTGTACAAAAGCTATAATCTTCCAATACGAGTAACGGCAGTATGTATTAAATTACATTATTATACAAATTCGACAAACTCCAGAGTCATATTCCAATATTCCAGGTGAAATTGTCATGATTAGAATTCACCTTTAATATAGGAGTATGAAACAGAAAAATTCCAACAGTAATACTCAGATAAATTAAGTGCAAAACAAGAAACTCAGAGACTAAACATTACCTCGGCTTGATCTATCCCTTTCTTCTTAAACCAAGCCTCCTCTTTCCCAATCTCCTCCACAGTCTTCTTCTTCTTCTTCTTCTCAAAGACCTCAGTGGCCCTCACCAAGCTTCGATTCCCAGTCCTGATGCTCCCATTGCTATACCTCTCGGCCAAACCTGCGAGCCCATTCAAACCCCCGTTCACTTTAATGGCCAACTCTCCGTCGCTTCCTTCCAATACAACACCCTCCTCTCTCCGGACTGCCGGCGCTCCAGACTGGACCACAGTACCCCCCCTTGTGCGGCCGCGCAATTTCGCGATGGGAAGTCGGGTTCTTCTGGAACCGGAGCTGGGCGAGAGGAATATCACCTTAGATAGCGCGGCCGCCGAGAAAGCCGCCGAAATATTCGCCATTTTCTCTCGACTGTACACAGTAAATAGAATGCTTTTCACTGTGAAATCGATCAGTGGCGGGCGAGAGAGGGGCGGAGGAAGAGAAGACTGGATGTGACTTGGCTGGAAGAGAAATACAAGAGGCGGGAAGGGGTGCCACGTAGCAGGTGATATGGGAAGGGGTAATGGTGTGTTTGGCAAAGAAGTGAAAGTACACATTTTTATATCAAATCTCAAAATATGTGTTCAGACCTACCATATAATGTCGAGTTGAAACTTTTAAAGTATGAAAACTTTTGTCACCACGATTCTTATAACATTGCTCGATAATATCATAGGATGACTCGAGACGCTTTGATATCTTGTTCGTAAAATTGACGATTCCTACCTCTCCTAACTCCCCGGTAAATCTCTCACCCCGCCCCGACCCGAACACACTCCTCTATCCCCTTCAATTGCACATCACAAGTTAATTTTGACTTTGAAGTCAATTTTTTACTCCAAAGTCAAAATCAACTTATGGGTGCAATTGAAGAGGGTGGGGAGTGTGTCAGGTCGGGGCGCGGTAGGGAGTTTACTGGGGTAGAAACCGTCAATTTTACGAATGGGACACCGGAGCGCTCTCAGGTCATCCCATGACATTGTCGGGCAATGTCATCGGAACCCCACCCAACTTTTGTGCATATTATCATGATGTATTTAGTATGAATAGCAAGGGGTCAATCAATGGAGACACCATGATATTTGAATATTTAGAATAATATAATGTACTGAAATAAAATATAATCATCACGATATTTCAATTATGCATAAAGTTGTATTGTTATCTGAGCTGACTTAGTTTTAGTTAATCAAAGATTATACTAAAATATAAGGGGAATATTAATATTTTAGTGTAACTGGATTGACTTGTTGATCAAATGAAGTCATATACATTAAACAAGCTAAGTAATGTAGGAATTTAATGAAGAAGAACACTGCGAAGCAGTGTTTAAACGAAGATTTCGATAGAATAACGAATCGCGTATGAAACGCTTTCATATCAAAGTTATTTCGGGGTATACGAAATACTTCAATCGGATAAGACGTTAATCAAGAACAAGCGATCGAAAATTTGTAACCCAATCCATACCACGAGATTCTATTTTATAGAATTGAAAAAACCATGATCGGATATGATCCTTCGCGTAAACATACGCGTACGTTCGCGTGGGGAAGAAGATAGGCGCGAGTTTGAAGAGCCTCCTGCGGTTTTAGAATATATTTTGACGTTTATCCGCTAGTTCGAGTCCTTTAATGATTTGGACCCCACCAGGGGCTGCCGCCCCTTGGACTCCGCTACCTGGGGGCTGCCGCCCCCGGACCCCGCAATGAATTTATAATATCGTTGAACGAGTGCGCACTCCGCACCTCCTAACTCATTTGACAACGTCTATTTAAATTTCTGTTCGATCGAAGTAAATCCAATTACACAAAATAAATCAATGACATTAAAATCACCAACAAGTAATGTGGTAAGGAGCACATAGGGGTGGACACGGTACGGTTCCGGAACCACCGATTCCGGTACCGCCACCCCTTGGTACCGGTACCGGTTTCGGATCGGCCGGTACCGGTTCCGGTTCCGGTACCGTTTCGGCCACCCATATTTTTTTTTTTTTTGCTTTTTTATTAAATTTTTAAAGCGTAGAATTGTAAATGTGTAATTGTTAAAAGAAATGATGAAATAAAAAACTCTAAAAATGAAATTAATATAGGAAAGAATGAAATAAAAAAAAAAATTAATTACGGTACCGGAACCGGAACCTGTACCGCCGGTACCGGAGTGGGCAGTACCGGTACCGGTTCTCGGAATCGGTGGACCGTCCCGGCCGACGGTAACGGTACCGGTGGTACCGTTTCCAGTCACGGTACCGTACCGGTACCGTGTCCACCCCTAGAAGCACATAGTTGTTTGAGTTTAATGCCATAGTAAATGGGGGGGTCTAAGGGGGAATCTCCCCGTGGCATGAGTGGGGGTCAAAGGAGTGGCAACCCTTTGGCAAAAATTTTGACCAATTTTACAGTGCTAAAAATCGCTCAGAAATTACTTTCTTTAATTCCACATGTAAATTTGGGAGTGGATTTTTGCTATTGAAATTAGATCATTCCCAAATCGAATGGAGACATTTTACCGAATGGTCTCCTGTTTAATAGAAGTAACTCTTCGCAAATGAAATTTCGTTGCTTTGGTCCAATATCCAATTTGAAAATAAATCATAAAATATACTTCTTCTTGATCAAAATGTTAGAAATGTCAAACAAATGAATAGTGTCAAACAAAGGAATATTATTGATGACTAGGATAATATCCTTGATTGGAATCAAATTACCAATCAAAGATATTTGATTATCTTCCACTTACCTTCCTTGATTGTCTTGAGTATTTCTATGTAATATTTATACTCATCATTTTGATGATGAATTGAATAAGATGAAAATTATGCTGTGAATTCATTCTAATATTTCTAATATGGTATCAGAGCCATCTTTCGATCAAACAATTGAATGAAACGCAGCATTCATCATATACCATAAAAATGTCTGATAAAACTCCTCAAACGGGCAGTTCCATAAACACAGAGGAATCTGACCCGAAAAATCAGCCGATCAATCTTGCACAAATTCTGGAAATTCTTCAAAATTTTCAGAATTTGGCACCCAAGGCCGAACCTATCGAGAGCTCTTCCAATCAGCCATTAAATATGGCGGAAAAGCTCAACGATAGGAACTACGCCATTTGGGCGCGCAAAATGAGTCTGGCGTTGGATGGGAGAGGGCGGCTCAAGCACATCACTGCCACACCTCTCAAATCAGATGGCTCGAAATTTATTAAATGGAGACAAGCAGATTCAACGGTTATAACATGGATTCTAGAAAACATGGAATCAGATATTGTCAATCAATATATCGATTATCCAACTGCTTGGGATCTATGGAAGGGAATTGAAGCCACTTACGGCTCCGGGAAAGATCCCTTGCAGGTATACAACTTGATGGTGAAAGCTAGCAGCATCAAACAAGGAGACCAGACACTAGAGAAGGTCTACAGCCAATTGCAAGCTGTGTGGAAGGAAATCGACAGGAGGCGACCCAACCCGATGAAATGCCCGGAGGATATGACGATTTTCACACAAATTCAACAACAAAATCATTTGTATCAATTTTTACAAGCCATAAACGAAGAGTTTGATGTAGAAAAACGTGATATTCTCAAAACAGATCCTCTCCCCTCCGTAGAAGAGGCATACGCCCAAATCAGGAGGGAGGCTACCAGGAAAGGAATAATGAAGGGAGACGATGGACCTTCATCGGGAGATCCCTCAGGTCTTGGCAGTGGATTCGCAGCCACATGGGCTGGATTGCGATCGGAAAAGGAAAAAAACCTGGTATCGTCATCTCGCATAAATGAGGACAAATCAAAATTGAATGTACCTACTGTGGCGGAACCAAGCACACCGTAGAAGGG